GTAAATGTATAATGTAAGTTATGGAAAACAATTTATTCGTAGCCATTTTAGGAAAAGTATTATGTTTTGGTAGTCAAAATTAATAAAATTTAATGATTAATTAAGTAATATTTATATTTGATATTGATACAACAATAGTTTTACTATTTCATTAAAACTTGTATAATATTCTAAAATATTATTAACTCTAATTAATACGGAGTATTTGTCAAGGAACCAACTCAACCAAAAGCTCAAGCTTGTGATTGTAGCCCAGAAACAGTTATTTATATTCTAAACATGCCCCCTCACGTGCAGGCGTAGTCTTTTTCGAGCCTTGCACGTGAACCTTTAATTTTTTTAAACTGGGTGGCACTGAGTTTCGAACCCATGAGCTCTTAGTCAACGAGGCTCTGATACCATGTCAATAAACCAATTCAACCAAAAGCTCGGCCCAAAAACAGTTATTTATATTCTAATAATATTTCATGTAATTTTTATTTAATTATAAGTCAAATATGTATCCTGATTAACTATAAAAAAAATTAAAACTTAACAAATATTATGTCATTCTGGGATGAAAAGAATAGTCGATTGTTGTTGCAATCAGGCAATCTCGAATGCAAGTGATGCGTCTCGTGATGGTATAAAATATCTTTTAGTTCTCCAATTAGAAAATTAATTACTCCGTAAACTGCCAGTCGCGTTATTTCATCGACAATAATTAAAGAACGCACGAAACCGTATGATTTGTTATAATCACATTTCAAATCGAAATGTCATTCACGTGAAGAGACGTGTTAGGATTATATTAGTGGACCATGGATATGCAAACAAGGACACATGAGGCGGCCGATAAAGAGCGGACGATGCGTCCTTAGTGAGGTGTTAATTAACTGACTAATTAATTAATTGTGTGTAATTAATAATTATTAAAATGTGTTTGGATCACAAGAAGAAAGTGGGGATAGAGCTTTCTTATGATTAGAGGTTAGTTTTGTCGTTTAATTAATTGCATAACAATAACAACTCATGCAGTTACATGCATGGGGCTTCCATTAGTCGACGTCGAGTTGGGCAGATCATATATAATGTTGGGTCTACATTATATTCCACTAATCCCAACTTGTTCTCTCCATTATTATCTCCTAATCTCAATTCATTATTTATAATTATTACTCTTTTGCCATTTCCATTTATATTTTCACATCCATCGATAATCTACTACATACTATCATTTGTTTTTTAAAAAAAAAATAAATAAAAATGTTTCATCCTCTTGGGAAAAATAAAAATAAAAATTCAAGAAAAGTTTACTCGAGATTGGTTACGTTAAATGATGCGTACGGTAACTTTTTTGAAAAGCTACCAAACTCTTCAGTGTAGTATTTGTTCAAATTAATCTCAGCATTTCAAGCATATAGTTGGGCCTCGAATACTAGATGTGAAAAAGTTTGGCCCGACTTCTTTGTCACTATGCCACATGTTTCTACTAATTAATGATAAGTAGTGGAGATAAACTATACTCGTAGTATTAAATTGTAAACAGGTGAATACTAGCTACTCCGTATATTTTTTAAAAAAATTGCTACTCCCTTTGTTTTGTGTATTTGTCTCATTTTAATTTTTTTCCAGTTAAAAAATAACAAATTTTGACTATTAGCTAAGTAAAATTTATGTTAAATATTGATTCAATAATAATTATTAGATTTATTTGTAAAATATTTTCGAAATATTATTTTATTAAATTGATATACCATATAATTTTTATTTAATTACGGAGTATAAGTTACTACTTCTGTCCTTGAATATTTGACCAATTATTAAATAAAAAATATATTGTATATTAATTAAATAAAATAATATTTTGAAAATATTTGATATAATAAATCTAATAAAATTATCTTTGTATCGAAATCTAATATCATTTTTATTTAATTTGAAGTTAAAGTTTACCAGTTTTGACCGGAAAAAATCAAAAGTATACAAATATTCAGAGACGGAGGGAATAGAAGATTAAAACTAGATTAGTTATAAAAAGTCAAAATAAGACAAAAAAATCTCATAATTGGTTATACTCCGTAGTTTGGAGATAATAATCTACGAACGTAACTACTCCCTCCGTCCTAAAACTTTCTTCCCAGAGCACTATTCAAACTTCACGGGAATTTATATTTATTTGTGTTTTTTCATGGCCTATATGATAAAATAAAATATTCTTGTCACCACTTGTTTTGTTGAACTTTTGATGTAGTTTTTAAATATGTATGTTTTATTTCTATACCAATATTTAAATAAAATAAATTGAAAAAACTTGGGATTTTTCTTCGTTTTGCGAACCGGGAAGAACGGAGGAGTACATAACATGAAGTCTCGTAGTTCCCAAAATGAAAATAGCCCTTTCACGTTACCAAACCTATAATAAAGTTGCAAAAAGTACTCCCTCAAGTGTCACAAATACTTTTCACACTTAATTCTTACTACCTCTGTCCCGTTATATTCGTCCACTTTTGACTTTTGGAACGGTTCATCTAAGCACTTTGACTCATCAAATTCTCTCAATGTGTAAGCCTAAATATAGTCATGTGCGATCTTGTTTGATTTGTCTTAACATATAGATTATTAATATATAATTTCTATAATTTTTTAACATACAAATTACAAGATAAAATGGATTAAAGAAGTGTATTGGATGGTGTGTAAAAATGAAAGTGGACAAATACTCTGGGACGGAGGGAGTATATTTTTTATTAAACTGTTTTATTCATTAAATAACACTAAAAAATATCTATAATGTCTAGTAATTGCAAACATTTACTTGAATAATGACTAAAAGTGCTACATTCGGAAAAAGCGTGTAATGCTATTTAGAAAAAATTATTATGTTTTAGTGTTATTTAGATAAATTACCCTTAAATTAATTGTTCTAATAGGATCAAGCTAATTTTTTTTCTTTTTTTGGAAAACTCACACTAACACCCCCAAATTTGACCGATTATACAATATTGCTTCCAAATTTTCTATAGGATGTAATATCCAATATAAAAAAATCAATATACCTTACACTGCCACTTCGACGCGGCCGCACTAGCTTCATGCTTAATTTCATGAAATTGCTTTGGACGCTTTAAATAATGAGTTGGCAACACATCTAAAGTAAAATAAGAAAATTAAATTATATGCCATTTGAACTTCTTTTAAAAAAAATTCCAATAAAGAAAATTCTAATTGAGGCCCGCAAATAATCATCTTTTTGCAACCTTTTATTCAACGCAGTATATAATTTAAGTTAATCTCGCTAAAGAAATTACATTGCATGTTATGAAAAAATAAAGTGAAATCATGAATATACATTATTTTTTTTATAAAAAAAAGCTTGATGGCCAACTGAAAAGCCCCATCATTAGGTTGTTTGTTGTTTTTCCAAATCTATGAGTAAAAATGCACGTAATGCGCCATGTAATTAAACAAAGCAGCACAAAATTTGGCAAATGTTTTTTTTACAGATCATCTATGTCACATGATTATTACATTAAATAACTGTTTTTTTAATGTCCAGATATGCATATAAAAAACATGTCGACATCTGATTTGGCATTGCATGTATACCTTGTTTCAAGTTGATGTCTATCTGTAAATAAATATTTTTAGTAACAAAAGTTGTAACAGAAAGGTTGCATTGTAACATGGCACTATATATGTGTTACACCGAACTCATTTGGCCTTTAATTTCTCGCACTGAATTTCTAAAAATAATATGGTACTCTATTTGGAAATAGGTTTGGTCATACATAAACAAGCCAATAAATAAGCAATATTAATAGTAATAACTAATTTGAGTATCCCTCCAAAAAAACCTAATTTGAGTATCACTAAGAAAAATAATTTGAGTGTGGAAGTATCGTGTGTCATGAAAAATAAAGTTCATCCCATTGATGTAATTTGAGTGTGGCATGAAAAATAATTTGAGTGTGGAAGTATCACTAAAAAATAATTTGATGTAATAGGATTATTTCATCCGTCCCAATTTTTTTTATATATACTTTGATTTTCTTGGTCAAGATTTACTAACTTTGACCACTATTTGTGAAAAATAAAGTGTATGTCTAGTTATAATTTAAAATTATGTCTAATTAAAATGTTAATTTAACATAATTGGAATTACTTAATAATTGTATTTAATTAAGCTTTGTTTTTATATATCAAACTATTACAGTATCATGTATTAGTGTACAACTATAATATTCGTGATTGTGAGAAGTCAAATACTCTAAATATAGTTTTTTTGAGACGAAGGAAGTATATATGCAAGACATGTGGATCATACCACACTAATAGATTTATATAAACTAATCGATTAGCTAGTTCAATTTCACATCTTTTTATCATCACATTTCAAATTTTCTATGTGAGATACTCTAACAATCCATTTCAAGAGGACTTCGAATCTTACCAATTGACACTTCCAAATTTAGTCTTTCTTTTTTTTTAAAAAAAAAAGACCGGATTGGAATTTGGAATGCCATAAGAGGAGGATGATAAAATTTATCTTTGTTTTTATACCGTTCAAACTAAGGTTGTGTTTTTTTAAATGGATCCTTGATATTATAACGTATACTATATATTGATATTGTACGATAGTTTTTGAAATTATATATTAGCATTATTGATATTATAAATCTTATTTTGGAAATAAAAAAATGAAATTTGCACTAAATAGGACTAAAACATAATGACTTTTCTAATGTAGGACTTGAACTTTTTTATTCTCTAAATAGGACTTAATAATGACCTAGTGGGAGGAATAATATCCAGTAATGCTTGACATTTACTTGAATAATGACTATTTAACAATGACCAAAAGTCCTACATTGGGAAATAAAAACATATGGTCCTATATTAGAAAAGTCATTATGTTTTAGTCTTATTTAAGTAAATTTCTCAATAAAAAAATTAATATTTTATTTTAGTTCTTTCTCTATGTTCTACTCATATTTAGCTCTCTAAGTTTTTTTTTGTAGTTTTATTCACATGTACATATTAGACAAAGTGTACCGGTTCGATGTTTGAAAATGTTGTGGGTCCAGCCCATTTTATTTGGGTTCCATTTTTCTTTGGTGGAGGGCCCAATTGTGTTTTTACTTTGTTGACTAAAAAAAAAGGAGAGTAAAAAAAGGGCTGGGCAGTAGAGGACTTACGGACAGAGCAGAAAAAAAAAAATCAGAATTGAGAGAGGAAAGGTGTTGGTGCAGAATTTACAGACCAGCCGCACAAATTCGATCATCGCCGGAGATCCAGCCGTTGGATTGAGCTGAAATTTTCAGAGGTTGTTCCCAACACTTAGGGCTTCAATCTGTTCAATTTTCACGTCAATCGGATCTACGGATCTTCTGTAATCGCAGCTGGTGCGACGCTGCGTTTTTGGGTGATAATCCTGATTTTCCTTCTCTATTGTTGATGCCTCTTATGTATGTTGTTGTTGGTGGGCTGTGACATCCTTGTAGACTGAGTTTGGGTGTTTTTACCCTCAATTTGCATAATAAGAGAAGAAGAGGGCGGACTCCCTATAAGTCCCGTGGTTTTTATCCTTCACATCGAAGGGGTTTTCCACGTATAAAAATCGTGTGTCGTTTGCATCTTT